ATGTGGCCAGGACGCTTCTGTAAAAGAAGATAATGGCTCGGTGTGAGTGTAGGCTTTATCGAGTAAAATAAAAATGTGTTTAATTTCATTTGTATGCTTTTTTGTGATTTGCTTACTTTTCCTCCGATCGTGTTTTTGTACTGTTGTCGTAACATCTGACCCGTCCCCACTGCACATCTGGATAAAAGAGCTTTACAGCTCGTCGAATTCTCCAGTATAAATACAAATTCAGATTCTTAAATTAATCTCGAGAGTCCACGTGCAGGACGCGAGTCAGCGTTGGGCTTTTGAGTCAGGGTTAGGTTTCGTGAGTGCACTAAAACTAAAGGACTGCGGTCACAGAGATCAGATAGGTTTGCTGAGATTACAACCCAGTTGTAGCTCCACCGTGAATTCGTCCAGTGCAAAAATGGTTAATTGCCCACGAGTAGATGCAGCGAGTGCAATCTTATTAAATAAAGAACACCGCTTTTTAAATATGTGCTCAATCTCTGTAATATTTCCCTACAAGATAAAGTTCCAAATCTGCACGTTCTTGACTCTGCTCTACTCAATAAGAGCTTAAACAACCATGGATGGGGGGGGGGGGGGTCCTCTTAGGGGCAGAGAGGTCATAGTTCTGAGTCGGTATCGCTGAAATCCTGGGTTCGAATTGGCAATGACCTGTAATCAACACCAGGTTTTCCAGTGCAGTATAGCCAAATGCATGAACCCAGGCAACAAATTATTGAACACAAAAAAATAATTTTTTATTTGACTTCCTTCCATCTCTGGAAGAAATGTCAAAACATTTTTGTTTTAAACGCCCTGGTATAATGAGGGTTTTGTGAGTAAAATGTTGGACCTCTCTCTCGGATTCGTCACGCGGTGTTGGAATCCTGGTTGACGAGTGGGGCACCAATGTGCAGTGGCCAAGGTCGTGTTGCATTGAACAACTTGACATCCATTCACTTTTAGGCTCATAAATGCAAATTAAGGGGAATGTTAAATCATATTATGCAACCCAGCCGAGGTTCTCAGGCAGCCAAGAGATGGTTGTGCAGGCCACACAAACAACTTCAAGTGTGGCTTTCAGTAATTGGAACAGACCTCAAGTGCTCTCTGGACATCTATTAGCAGAGATCATAAAGTGACTTTGTGGAACAAAAACGAATCAATTGCTGCCCAAATATATTTTTTACACAATAGTTACAATTTTGCAGGCGTAGTGTGAAATGTTCACGATTTGTTTGCAATGCTCCTAAAATCAGCAGCTGCTAGGCAATGAAGTATATTTTCGTTACTCTTTGGATTGTTACTTAAACAGAATTAAATATATAAATTTCCTAAAAAAATGCCCGTCGTCTGATATCCTTGCTGATAAGTTGTTGTAATGTCCGTGGAGTGTCTGTATTTTTTCTTCTGGAGTAGCACTTGTAAAGGATGCCGAATGACAATGTATATCACAATACAGACGATAACTTTACATCACAACACAGACACACTTTGCATAAATGGTTCTTTATTTGGAATGAAAAGGGGCGTGGAAGTAGTTACAATATGGAAAGCTTTACTCCTACTTATTTGCAGTACAAAACCTTGCGTGTGGATCCAAGTTGTAATGCTCTCTTGTTTACGTAACAACGTGGCCCAAAAAGCAGTGGTCTCCATCAGAGGTTAATCAGGAAGTGCTACGGTGAAACACACGTTTCAATACACACGGGCACCTCGGATTAACCATTCTGCATCAATGCGTGTGTAAAAGGTGATCAAGACGTTGACATCTTCATAAGGAACACCAAACCATTAGGCTTTCCTAAAGCTGTCAGATGAAACAACTAAAACAATTCCAATGAATAGGGTTCCCATCACGTATATCAACTATTAGGCAAGTACTTTTTTTTAGACATTTAGAGTGCATTATTTAGAAAAATAAAGCTTTAAAACCAAAACTTTTTTTAACTTGGGGACCAACATTTGTGTTAAATCAAAGTTAGACTATTCAAATGTAGTAAGAATGAAAGTTAAATAATGACTGTAACTGATTACAAAGGCAATAGAAACGTCGAAGCATTCTACTCCTACTTTTTTTTGTTTTTGAATAAAGTGCACAATTGACTTTACAAGTAGGTACAATAACATACGTTTTGTTGCATAACGTTTAAAATGATGCATTTACCAAATATTGGCAAATGCAATTTTAGCTTCTGTTTCTATTGTCACCCATAGTGGAATACAGTCCTGGCTTTTGTCGATCCATAGCGTGTTTGCAAAGTGTAACCATTTACTTTTCTCACTCATTTTTCAATTAACAATGCTTATACAAGGGAGTTATAGCAAAAGGGACTGAGGCCGACCTCGCGTCTAAGTGAATATAAGGATGCGTTAATAAAAGATAAGAAATGTAAATTTAACAAAGACTTGTAAATAGACCAAGTATAGGACAATCTTACATACCGTATACATTCCCCATCCCTCACTCCCCACCCCCCCCACACTAACTACAGTGAGGGAAAAAGTATTTGATCCCCTGCTGATTTTGTACGTTTGCCCACTGACAAAGAAATGATCAGTCTAATTTTAATGGTAGGTTTATTTTAACAGTGAGAGACAGAATAACAACAAAAATCCAGAAAAATGCATGTCAAAAATGTTATAAATTGATTTGCATTTTAATGAGGGAAATAAGTATTTGACCCCCTCGCAATCAGAAAGATTTCTGGCTCCAAGGTGTCTTTTATACAGGTAACGAGCTGAGATTAGGAGCACTCTTGAAGGTAGTGCTCCTAATCTCAGCTTGTTACCTGTATAAAAGACACCTGTCCAAAGAAGCAATCAATCAATCAGATTTCAAACTCTCCACCATGGCCAAGACCTCTCCAAGGATGTCAGGGACAAGATTGTAGACATACACAAGGCTGGAATGGGCGACAAGACCATTGCCAAGCAGCTTGGTGAGAATGTGACAACAGTTGGTGCGATTATTCGCAAATGGAAGAAACACAAAAGAACTGTCAATCTCCCTCGGCCTGGGGCTCCATGCAAGATCTCACCTCGTGGAGTTGCAATGATCATGAGAACGGTGAGGAATCAGCCCAGAACTACACGGGAGGATCTTGTCAATGATCTCAAGGCAGCTGGGACCATAGTCACCAAGAAAACAATTGGTAACACACTACGCCGTGAAGGACTGAAATCCTGCAGCACCCGCAAGGTCCCCCTGCTCAAGAAAACACATATACATGCCCGTCTGAAGTTTGCCAATGAACATCTGAATGATTCAGAGGACAACTGGGTGAAAGTGTTGTGGTCGGATGATACCAAAATGGAGCTCTTTGGCATCAACTCAACTCGCCGTGTTTGGAGGAGGAATGCTGCCTATGACCCCATGAACACCATCCCCACCGTCAAACATGGAGGTGGAAATATTATGCTTTGGGGGTGTTTTTCTGCTAAGGGGACAGGACAACTTCACCGCATCAAAAGGACGATGGACGGGGCCATGTACCGTCAAATCTTGGGTGAGAACCTCCTTCCCTCAGCCAGGGCATTGAAAATGGGTCGTGGATGTGTATTCCAGCATGACAATGACCCAAAACACACGGCCAAGGCAACAAAGGAGTGGCTCAAGAAGAAGCACATTAAGGTCCTGGAGTGGCCTAGCCAGTCTCCAGACCTTAATCCCATAGAAAATCTGTGGAGGGAGCTGAAGGTTCTTCTTGCAAAACGTCAGCCTCGAAACCTTAATGACTTGGAGAAGATCTGTAAAGAGGAGTGGGACAAAATCCCTCCTGAGATGTGTGCAAAACTGGTGGCCAACTACAAGAAACGTCTGACCTCTGCGATTGCCAACAAGGGTTTTGCAACCAAGTACCATGTCATGTTTTGCAGAGGGGTCAAATACTTATTTCCCTCATTAAAATGCAAATCAATTTATAACATTTTTGACATGCGTTTTTCTGGATTTTTTGTTGTTATTCTGTCTCTCACTGTTCAAATAAACCTACCATTAAAATTATAGACTGATCATTTCTTTGTCATTGGGCAAACATACAAAATCAGCAGGGGATCAAGAAAAATTAAGTGCTTCTGTCAACTTTACAGACTTCTTTCACCTTCGGTTACATGAATTGAAATAACGCAGCATCGCAAGTGACGAATGTTTAACTTGATGACTTAAAGGGAATTTTTTTTTTACGAAGCACAATAATATTACAAGGTAGCCCTGATTTTCCATATGTAGGAGCGTAGACACCTCCTGAGTGGGATATGGTGAAATGAAACTCAGGACACAGGGCTCATTGCTTGCCTAACCAGTCAAGGGCAGGTCTTGCATTTCACGTGGACCCACTTATCTTTCCATTTCCGGTGCATGAGAGAGCACACGCAGGGGGATGGTTTCAGAACACCTTTTCGCCCCAACAAAGTAGTCTGTGCAATCCAAGTGCGGTGTTCCAGGTTGGGCTGCGTGTTCAGCATGTCTTCTCAAACGGCTATTATTATTTTTATTTGACCAGATAAGGCCCACTGAGCTATACAGCTCTTCAGAAGTGACCCGGCCACAAATGATAGCTCAACAAAGTGGCTTTTCGTGTGGAAATTGATAGCAGCCAAATACTTTAAACGCATGTTTCTAAACGTAGAGGAGAATAACCAGAGGACACAGAAAAATTCACGCGACCATGGGGAGAATACGCAAACTCCAAATACTGGTGCCAGGGTCGGGGTCAAACCCACGACCTCCTGCATACCAGGCAAGGTGGTTAACATCTCCGTACCGTGGCGCCCCAGCTGCAAAACTTACGCGTGTTAAATTCAGTCCAAATGCTGCTGAGGACCTTCTGTTACAAATCGGTCGTCCCAATAGAGACGATGGTTTTGGCAGCCACAGAGAAAACAAAACCGTGATGGGGCCAAAATTTACGGGTTTCCACAATTACACGGTAAATCAAACCTTTTCTGTTCGGCACATCACAATACGAGTAATAACGGTAAAAAAGCATAAAATAATGAAGCAAAAATGCAATAAAGTCATTTATAATGCAACATGGAAAAAACTGCAAATTTTGAAGACTTAAAAAAAATAGTTGAACATTGTTAAAATTATGAAAGCCACTTAAATGCAGGGACACATTTGTTGTCTGAAAAAACAAGTGACACGTGTACAGCCTTATGGTACAACGTCGAATATCAGACATTGCTAATCCACCCTGACCAATTAATTGCCCACACCCAGTGCAGTATTTATTTTCCTAATCTGATGCACATTCACTTACTGTTAAAAGCACAGTAAAGCATTTCGCCTATACTTGAAGGAGCTTTGTGCTCCATTCTTCGTCCAGTAACCCATTTGTGCATGGTGGTTGTTAACTGTCATTCTCTGTAAATATTCACATATCAGACCTTTTCACATATGCACCTAAACCAAAGTTCCCAGCGAGTCGAATATGCGACGTACTGCTGTACAGCAAACATCCGAAACCGGCGATGAAGCCGATGCTATGTGTTGGGTCTGCCGGGGGCAGCGTTGGGTCTGCCGGGGGCAGTGTTGAGTCTGCCGGGGGCAGGTGTCGCGGTTTTCCTCAATCGCAATGGATTTTTTCGAGGCTGAATCCAACATCCACTGTGAGAAGATGACATCTCCTCTGCGGGGGTGCCAAGCCATACACACTTTAGTTTAGCGTAAACGTGCAGCAAAAAGGCCAGTTCGAATTGTTACTTTTAAATTTTGAGCGGCGTCACAAAAGAAAAATAAACGAATTCAGGTACGGCGCGTACTGCAGCTTTTTTTCAACTTAAAAACAAATTACTCTGTTGGATTATGTTTTGCTGTGATGGTGGAACACAAGGTTGACAGAAGCCTCTGTGTGGCAGGTGGCTTCTTTACTGCAGGTTCGTACATGAGACTCGGGCAAGCCCGGCCAGAGTGTATCATCTTGGGGGGTCAACGTGGGAGAGGGTAGGTTTGAGTGTCGCTATGTGGGCACGTTTGTTGTCCTTCCCCCGCACCTCCGATTAGCACGGTTGGCTACGTACGGTGCGAAAGAAGTTCAACACAGATGCATACATAGGGAGGCCAAAAAAAGGAGCCAGTGTGCGGGCAGTGCCCACTGCACACTAGCGGCGGATGGTGCTGGATGCCCGGAAGTACGACAGGAACTTGTAGCAAAGGCTCACGACAAAATACCAGATGTTGCGCGCCATCTGAGATCGAGCGATGAATATGCGCCAGATGATGACGACCAGCGCTGTGTTGAATGTGTAGCGGATGTTGCGCAGCCTGGAGACAACCACACAAGCGCGTCCCCCGTCAGATTTAAACAAAATTGTCTGTTATTCACGCCTATATATATTTGCTTTGTTATTCACGCCTATATATATTTGCTTTGTTATTCACTTTTGAAGACAGCTTAGTGGAGAGGACGGGCGAGTGTTCAACCAATGGCAATATTGGAAGACAAATTCTGCCATCGCATTTAAAATACAATAGTAAAAAAAGAACAAATCCTTAGGCATCTTGATGCAGGCACAATGTTTATGGAGAGATAAAATTAGATCAAATTAAATCATCATAAATGTACTAATGCCATTGCAAAAAGTTGTTAAATCTTCTAATGTATTTTAAATGGAGGAACCTCACTGTGATTCATTAATTTTGCACAGAACCAAATTCAGGCTCAGGGCTTTATTTCTGCTGCTAAGGCCCATACAGAGCGAAGCAGCTCTTTTAAGAGCACAAACAGCCAAACTTGATAATAATCACGGAGGAGTTAAATAAACACTGCTGCATCTGGTCAGATGAACTTGGTTCAGTGGATGGCAGAAAGACGCGAGGGAAACGCAGAGGGGGGAACTGATGGCAAAAGCATGGAGAGGCGCTCACTTTTTGAGGTGCTGCCTGGCCGCGGGCAGCCCTGACATCTCCTCGTTGAGGAGGTACTTCTTGGTCCCCATGCAGTAGTTCTCAATGTACTCGGGCCAGTGCAGCTGACGCACGTCGAAGTTGAACATCTGCGCGCACACACGCACAACACCCGCTTGCGTATTAGTTGCGTCTGAAATGGGGCCGGCGTCTTTGCACCGCACTCACGTGACCATGCATGCTACTGTATGTTGAACTTCTTTCGCACCTTACGTAGCCAACCGCGTTAAATCGGCGGTGCGGGGGAAGGACAACAAACTAAACACAAAACAACTGTTTGTGATAAGGCTGCAGACGCGCCGTGGGATAATTTAACGATCAAAGCTTTCCACATCAAGTCCACAGTGGGAGCCAGACAAACAGAAGGACGGGTTAAAGCACGGCAGTCCACGACACCAAATCTGTTGCCAATCCACTGCTGGATGAGGCCTCCCCGTGCTGTGTGGGTCGTGGGGTTGTTTGGTTGAGTGCAGGTTGAAGGTGTGCAGCACAGCAGTAGATCACACGCAATGGATTCTGCTGCACTGCCCTCTGCTGCCCACCACGTAGCCCCACGGCCTATGACAATAATATACCAATCTCCAACATAATTCGGTGGACAAAGCATGTAAAAATGTCAAGGTGTGGCCCTGCAATTGCTTGCTCACACCATTGCTGGTGGAAGGCACTCCACCCGAGGCAGACAGCACCGCTAGAGAGTATTTGGTCTACTCTTCCACACTGACCAGACTATCCCACCACACACGACCTTCGAATCGACTGTGGTGTTACCTTTTATACTTCTGCGTGGACCAGAGTGGGGGGGGGGGGGGAATTTGAGAAACTTGGCCATGGTTTAAACAGCCAAGGCATGTAATGCCTGATGTATACGTGTGTGCGCGGTGAGAATGTGGTACGGCACACGAAGGGATGGTGGGTGGCCACCACCATGCCCAACCACCTTTGTCTCCCCAGTGGCAATGTTTTTACACACTATCCCAGGTACTCATTTGAGGCCGAGTAGAGCTAGGGGAGGCCCAGGACCGGTGCAGACAATCGTCACTGGCATTGGCCGTGAGCGGGAATCGAATTTAGGTTGGTGGGTTTGTAGCACAGCACGCTAACCGCTACATTACTGCTCCCCGCTTCGGAAGTGCTACTCGCTAATAGCACTTGCTCCAACAAGTCTGTGAAGACTATACGGGGGATCTTTGTCTTTGGTGAGAATGCGGTGCTGTCAGGGGGAGGGGCGTGGTGCGCCGTGCCTTGCGGTCCTCCGGGCTGAGCTGGCCCAGCAGCATGGTGAGGTTGTCCGAGCCCCACACCCACGAGTGGCTCGTGAAGTACTCGAGCAGCATCATGGAGCGGTGCAGCCGGTTCACAATGCGCATCATCCTGCGAGCGCAGTGACCGCATTTGCACACGCACAGACGCAGCAACTTGAGTGACCTGGGGCTTTCGGAGCTAGACAGGTGCGAGCCTGATGGATTGGGTGTCGTTGGCAAAGGCGGCTGTGAGGTGCACCTAGGAGATGGCAGCGCGGAGGGTCGCCACCTCATTATACGCGGGTTTTCTGCAGGAACTCCAATTCTCTTGCATGCCCATCACTCATTATGGACCGGAGTCAAAAACCATAATGCAGTGTGGTTTTTCTAAGTATGTTATAATGGCATCAATGTTATTAATTAAGCCAATGTCTGTTCCTGTTAATGCTGTTAACTTGCACCCAACTGCAGAGCCATTACAAAGAGCACCTTGCAGAAAGGTGTAATGAAAAATTTGTTGAGGCCAAGCAAACACTTTGGGAAACTCTTATGCTGCATCACAATACCACAAATCAAATTTGTATTCAGCGAGTCTCCCGTTAACTACAAAAGCAGAATTCATCGCTGAAGCTCGTTTAAACTTATCATCACCATGAACACGAATTAACAACAAAAAGTTACAAATTATTGCACATTGGATACACAAAGGGAAACTAAAAATGCAATAATATGCAAACGTGTGAAGTGCGCCAAGCCCCTGGGCTGTGCTTGAACCTGGGCTGCTGGCCGCACAGTCTGAGAAACAGGTCGTAGAGGAAGGCGGGCGCCTTGTGGCTCACGGCGATCCAGTACTGGTTGATGAGGTGGTTGGACGTGAGGTTAACGTTGGGCCGTCGGATCGCTTGCTCCAGCGGGTTCCGCTTGAACGTGGAAATCACGTGGTGTTCTAGGGGGCAAGGCGAGAGAGCGAGGAGGAGCAGGTGGGCAGGGTGAAGCGAGCACTGGGCACCGCGGTAGCGAGAGGTCAACTGCCTCGCCTGGTATGCAGGAAGTATAATTGGCATAAAAATACATACTGACACGATAAAAAAATATTTTAACCATTGCCTGAGGGCTCACCAATCTGTCCCCAGTGAAAGGGGTTGATTTCTCCAGTGGTGCAGTTACAGATCAGGGTGTTCCTTGGCCTGAAACACACACACACACGCATCGTTAGACAAACGACACATCACATCTTGGGCAAGCACGTGCACAGCTCCTGACTTTGTCGGCACAGGCTTCAATACCTTTCCAGGTCACGCATGTGTAACATCAGTTATCCAATTTATGTGCGTGCTTATGCACGCTTTTGGTCAGCTCCGCGAGGTATTAAGGTGCACAATTCACTTTACATCGACATAGCAGCAATACATTGACTGTGCCTCCAGGGAGCACCAAAACAACAGGGCCCAGCCACCCACATGAGCTCCCCTGTGAAACCTGATTCCCTTCATTCAGGTCTTAATGAGCAAGGCAGCTGTGTGCCAATGTTTGCTATCAACCTTGCTCATGTAGGGAATCTTAAAAATCAAATGGCGCTGGGTATGTGGTATGCACAAGCCATGCTGCTAAATAAAAACCACGAGTGAATAGAATATATCCCTCTGCAGTTGGCAAACTATGCCAGTTACACACGCAGTAGTGCTGGCAGTCACGTTGGCAACCATTATTCAGTAATATTCAGCGTGAAAATACAAGTTCTTTGTACCCTCCTCCACAAGTAATATTCCCTAACGGTAATAAAGAATGTAATTGAAATGCAATTGTGAGACTTTCATAGATCTTTGCTATGACTGAATAAAGGCTTACTGGCTGAAGTTGACTGCACGTTTAAATCTTGAATTAAAGCTTTCGTGACTGCAGGAATTTACATTCTTTGGGTCTGTCGGTAAAGTCACGATGATGACCGCTTGTGTTGCGATCGAAACGTAGTTTTTTGTTATTTTATTTTCTTTGAACCCATCTACGTGACTTTACCAAAAAACCCAAAGAATATGCACTTTTAAAGTTAATTCGAATGGACCAGCAAATGTGTTTACCTGCAGCCTCCAGCCATGACTTATATTATTTGTGGATGAAAATACATTAATAAATGCGCATTGAGACTTGTACACTTAATGGCATATATCTAGTAAAAAAATACCAATCAATTATACAGTTTAGCAATAATTATCATGGTCATCGGTCCACCAAATATTACGAAGCATCTCTGGTAGCCAGTTTGTCTCACCCCTTCTTAAACACACAGATCTCTAGACCCGACAAAGTGAATTTGTAACTTGGTAACTGGAGCCATAATACAAATCTATCACAGGCACGCAGTGTTTTCCCCTCCTGTGCACACCAACATATAATTATTTGCTCACAAAAATAAATAATATGCTCGTGACCTTGTTCTTTTACCACTTTACTCCGAAGCCAAATCTCAATTGGGACTCACGGATTTTGAACCCGTGGGGGCAAACACAAATTGCTGAACCACAAATATTTCACTCTATTTGCGATTCAGGAGACAGCATTGCTAAACGACTGGCGCTGGGTGGGGCAATGAGTGGCTGCGGGGGATGGGTGGAGCAGCAGTGCAGTTGTTCGCGCACTGCGCTGCGAACACGGCGAACAGTGTTCAATGTCCGGGCCACGTAACTAACATCAGCGGTAAAAATATTAACTGGGCATCCTCTAAATTTCGATTTAAAGCTTTCGTGACTGCAGGGATTCATATTCTTGGTTCTTTCGGCAAAGTCACGTAGAAGGGAAATAACAAAAGAATACAAGTAAAACAACATTTTGTTTTTGTTTTATTTGTATTTGTTATTTCCCTCCTCTAGTTCGCCAGCCGTGAAGAAGAACATCTAACGTGATGTCTAAACATCGGGACCGGGGAGACAAAGATGGCCGGGCGTGGTGCTCGCCACACCAACCCGTCGTGTACTGTGCCAGCCTTAATAGCCGCCTCACTAACAGCGCTTGCCCCCACAAGTCTGGTCAAGGCTATAAGGGTGATATTTGTCTTTGGTGAGAGTTCGGGGGGTTGGGGGAGAAGCGCGTGCTCTGGGTTGTGTGCTGGCGAGGCCGGGCATAGCGTCGTTGTCCTGTTCCGTCGCACCTGTGCACGGCCGAGTACCACGCGGCCACCAGCATGACGTTCACCACCGTGTCCACAGGCACCAGGTCGGCCACTGCGTCGTTGCTGGCCCGCATCGTGCGCAGGATGCCCTTGCCCGCCTGGCGAGCCCCGGAGTGTACAAAATAAATAAGTAAAGTTTTACTTCCTCCGCCTGTAAAACGTGACGTATATCGTCACTTTAATTTGGGTCCACTTGGTTCACATCGTCAAGGAGAATTGAGTTGTGGTATATTTTCTGATGTTACACTTGGGGTAAAATGTTGGAACAGGATGTTACTCTTGACAATGTCACTAAGCTATTTAAGTGCCTGGTTTATTATTGCGCTCATAAAGCAAGATGCCTTCACATAACTTTGTAATAAAAACACAGTTCGTTTTAAAAGTGGCATCATTTAAGTATTTATTTTGGTGCAATTTTACAGTGACTTGTTCTGATGGCATGTGAAACGCTGCGATTTTGAGCAGCTTTAAAAAAAACATCCTTAACATGGCACGAGTTGCACACTAAAGGGTTGTGGGAAAGGCCAGGCACCTCAAAAATGGAACCAGAAAGCCCGTGCGTGTTGGATCATTGCATGCGTGGTGTAACCACAGGACTATCGGGCTGCATAACACATTCAAAAACACTCGACAGCTTTAGGGAACAGTTACCAGGCTCCGCGAAATGCGGCAACCTCCCCAAACCACATGCTCGTCACCATTTCCGCCAACGACGCAGGAGGTGGCGAGATAATTTAAAGAGGGCACGTGATCATGCAGCCGAACGCAAAGATGTCACTTGGGCACGCGCATTAAGACCCGTGTGAATTGCAAGTGGAAATATCGCCGCTGAAATTACACGGGTGCATGTTTAAATTATTTCTCGCTGCAGGAGGTTACGGTGGGTCATGCAGACCTGTGCACGGGGTCCCATCTTCCATTGTGATCTGGCCTGGGGGCATACTTGTGAGCCGTCGTAACAAAAACCATCCAGCATCATTGCTCTTGAGCATTAACCCACTCCTCGTTTAGTCTCTTAAGTGGCACGTGCGTTAGACCTATAAGGCCAGCCGATCTACAAAATGCACCGAACCATTTTTGATGCGACAAATTTGTTGATAATACACAATGAAGACCGTCACTTTTTATAGCCACACTGTCGGAGGACACAAACACCCATTTTTTTGTATATAATGAGCCAAGAATGTCTGTGTGTCCCGTGCGTGACATTACTCCACATCAAACAGCCCCGCTCATTAATAATTATGAACAGGTGACGTCCTCCAAAAGGACACCCCCCCTCCATTCATAATAATTAGCGGGAGACGTCACTCCACATGGGGGGGCGAGGCGCCTCCTCCCCCCTCCTCAGAGTCAACTTAAAACCCTCACTACAAAGGCAGAACCCTCACGTCACGCCATCCCCGTAACGCTATTGAGACATCAAAGTAAAAAGGACGTCATGATGAACAAGGAATTTTAACCTTTAAATGAAAAAAGTCTGTCACCGCGGTCTTACAAATTGCGCACGCATTGATGCAATGAATATCATGTCGCGGTCTGCTTTTCGCTTGCAAGTTTCAGATTTACTGCAATACACCCGTCCTTGGATAGGCAAAAGGCTAGTTAAATTGAATGAAATAAGGTTGTAGAAATTAAGATTAAAAAAAAAAACGACAAATATACTGACAGCAATGAAGAGTCCACTTGGTCCATTGAAGTTGTCAATCCAACCCTGCAGGGCAGACACGACAAAGGTGAATCCAGGACGTGGGTTAATTTAAGTAGCACTTGTTTTGGAAACATTAGTTCATCGCCAGAGGACATGGGCGAAGTGTTGAATGACCGTGCACACGTGCAAAACCACCTCCTCGCCCCATGGACTAGAATACAGTGGCAGCGATGAGGTCACCATGGCACTTGTGCCAGGCTAGGTGCAGCTCGAGGCCATGTTAATTGTCTAAGGCTCATTGACAGGTCATGAGACAGACCCACGTGTTATGAACTGACCAACTCGCACACAATACGCACGTTATCACATGCATACATATAACCACAAATATTATACAGGGATTGTACTATTAACTGTAGGTGGCATGTAACCGCATTGGAGATTATATTATTCACTCATTGATAGTCACGGAAATATATTTTTTTACTGTGGATAGTTTTGAACGAACATATATAGATACAACTGTACACTTGAAAAAGTTCAAACGTAGTCATGCGTTTGAAGAGCAGCCTTAACTTTAAAATCAATATTGTGAGGGTGGGGGCTTGTGGTTGCAGAGGTGATAAGGACATTTATCATGCCAGATATATAATTAGTAATTTTCCCCTGTAGCAGAAGCTAAAAAAGACAAATGATTTGGCAAACAAAAGTTGTGTGCCTCTGCCAATGCTAATATTCAGCGTGTTCCATGGAACCCTGTCGTGCAGACATTACACAGCGGGTGCAGTAAAACCTGGCACCATTTCCCATGAAAATGCCAGTCGCTTGTCCAACGTGTTGACACATTAAACCCATTGCACAATGGTACTTTTAAAACCATTAAAAGAACTCCAACCACCACCATGTGCGTAACTTTGAAATAACGAGGTATTGCATTACAGGTCAGCTGTACGTAGCAATAATGTTTGCCAGCAATGTCCGTCGGAGAGAAATATACTTAAGCCACAAACCGTCCTCAATTTAAAACTTGTAGAGGTCACGTAACTGCGCACCGAGCCCATGTGGTGAGGTCGGCCGAGGCCCAACGGAATTTGTGGCGACGGCGGTCTACTGGACATCTGTGAACTACTGAACGACTCTGTGAAAGAGCTTTGCAGCTCATCATATTCCACCAGTGTAAATAAATATTCTGATATTCTTACGGGGAAGGGCTCCTGCCAGCTGGCCCCGACGATGGAGGGCCTGACGATGGCCACGTTGATCTTGCTGCTCTCTTGCTGCACCATGCACTCGGCCAGGGCCTTGGTGAACGTGTAGGTGTTGGGCCGGTCTCCGATGAGGCGTGCGGTGATGTCGCGCACCATGCCATCATCCATCCACCTGGGCCAGCGGAAAACGTTCCATGAGAAGATTATACCACCATATACCATGTTAACTTGTTTTGTGGTTCACCTAAAGTTGCATGCCTTTTCTATCTACTTCCAGCCATTCAGTACAAATAAGGGCAGAGTGTACTTAACATTGCCCTTAATTGCACATTTCACATTCAGGACGATACTGACGGGGTATTTCTTTCAGCATTATTTCATGGCATCATTCGTATCCTGGTGATGTCTGTGAAATGTTCCAAGTTTGAGCAGTTTTGCTTAAAAATATCTTTATTGCTCTCTTGAGCCATAACACCTCGTAAAACCGTGCAAAGGAACGTTCATTGCCGGTCTGTGCTGTAAACCACAAATATTTAAATATAGATGTCCGGTCGTATATGCTGTGAACAAAATATAACTTTAACATTTCCAAATGTATCACACAAACTACTCTCCGAGAGCAGAAACTCGGATGGAATTTTTTTTGCCTGAACAGCTTTTGTGAAATATTCTTAGTTTTTTCGGTAAAGTCACGTTGAAGAGAAACAACAAAATAACAAAATATATATAAAACAATAAAAAATTCTCACGACGTTTCGACCATAACTCAAACGGTCATCATCAGGTGTGTTGGTTTGCATAAATGTATTTGTAAACGACACATTTATTTATTTATTTATTAAAAACGTTGGTGTCACGCGCAGCGATTTGGCAGTTTGCCCAGGACTAGTCCATCTATTTTTTTGAAAAGAGGAGGGGGGAGACGAATTTTTTTTATAATGTATGCTGTCTGAAAGCCACTGTAAGCGTGAACAATCAATTAAGAACTGAAATGGTTTATCAAATCTTTCCAATGATTGCTAAGATAGAATCCATCTTCTCAGTTGAAATTGTCTCTGTGCTTGTATATGTGGATAGCCTCATGAACGAATCTCTCATGGAAGCCAGATGGCTTACAAAGAACCTCCGTCTTGGAAAAGTCAATGGCATGTGAGCCTACTGAATTAGAACAATGATCTGCTACGGCCGAGGTGTTGGTCCTACCGTGTTTAAGGTCTGCTTTATGTTCACGAATGCGGTCCGAGACATGGCGTTTGGTTTCTCCAATGTAACTACTACCACAGAGGCAACTTAGTTTGTAGACACCAGGTATTGTATGTCCGGAATCACATCTTTTACAGACGGAACCAGATCACGGATTTTATGTAATGTGTTGAAACGGACCTGGATCTTGTGTTTATTCAAGATTTTGGAGATCTTTTTTGTGATCCCAGCAATGTAGGGTAAAGTGATGGTTTTGAAAGGCTCCTCAAGAGGGTTCTTCTTCATGGTTTGAGTGATAGCTTTGCGGATTGTATAGTCGGAGTAACCATTAGCCCTAAGAGCTTGGTGTACGTGCTTGAGTTCACTGCTTATGTGTTCCTGGTCAGATATGCATTGGGCTCTATGATACAGAGTCTTGATGAGAGAATTCTTCTGTGATGGATGGTGGTGGGAATCCGGTTTCAGATAAGCATCCGTATGGGTAGCTTTCCTGTAGACAGAGTGGCTCATTGAACCATCAGGTCTCTTTTTAATTAGGACATCCAAAAAAGGTATCTTGCCATCTATTTCGACTTCCATGGTAAATCTGATGGCTGGGTGTATGGAATTGATGTGGTCGAAGAACTGGTCTAGAGCAGGCCGGCCATGTGGCCAGATGACAAAAGTGTCATCCACGTACCTCTTCCATAAGGTTGGGCGCAGAGTGGCAGTCTGGATGGCGTCAGTCTCAAATTTCTCCATGAAAATGTTAGCTATAACTGGAGAGAGGGGGGAGCCCATTGGGGTGCCCTCAGTTTGTTTGTAGAAAGTTCCATTCCAAGTGAAGTATGTATTGGTTAAACAGTGTCTCACCAGGGGGGGTACCTCAGTGTTTAGTCCTTGATGAACCAAGTCTTCAATGATTGCAATGGTGTCAGGTACAGGAACCTTGGTGAATAAGGAAACTACATCAAAACTGACAAGCAGGTCGTCTGGGGACAGGGAAATACCCTTGATTGTCGATACCAGGTGAGTAGAATTTTGTACCGCAGAGGTGGTCTTTCCAGTGAAAGGACGCAGGATTTCAGACAAAAAACGAGCTAGTTTGTAGGTGGGGGAGCTGATAGTAGAGACTATGGGACGAAGAGGTGTATCAACTTTATGTATTTTTGGTAAGCCGTATAATCTTGGTGGCCTGGCAGCAGAAGGTTTCAACGAAAACTGTTTAGATTGATCAATTAATGCGGTTGAATCAGAAATTATTTTGTTGGTTTGTGTGACGAGGCTGTTGGTGGGATCTCTTTTTATTTTTGTATAACTACCATCGTCGAGTAATTCTTTAATTTTGTTGTTGTATTCTATTTTATCCATGATGACAGTAGCATTGCCTTTGTCAGCTGTGAACTCGCCTGAACACTGCCTAATTCAAAGCAAACACCTGCTGGCAATCAACAATACTTTTAGCCTCGGCAGATGGGTCGTTCTTCGGTCACCGTCTTATGCAAGGGCACAAGTACCTAAGAATGTAACAAAAAGAGGAATTGATTTTCAGGAGTACACACAGTACTGTCCAGTAAAGTACTGAAGACCATCTGATAACGTTAACTTTTGCGGGGCGAAGCTAAGGCATGATGAACACCCTCGGTATCTAGGAGTTACCCTGGATCGTATGCTTACCATCACCACCTCAAACAAGCTAAAGGTAAAACGAAAGCACAAGTGAATATTATTCAGAAACTTGGCAGGAACAACCTGGGGAAGCGATGCCAGCACATTAAAGATATCAACGCAGGCCCTTGTTCATTCCACTGCGGAGTATTGTCCACGATGTGGGGTGCAAGCCCTCACACGAACCTTGTCGATGCCGAAATTAACAACGCGCTTCGTATCAGCAGCGGTTCCCTAAAGTCTACTTCCACTCCCGTGGCTTCCTGTGCTGGCGAATATTGCTCCGGCCAACATATGACGGGACGACACAGGACTACAACAAGATAATGAAAAACTTCACTCTGCCGCTCCATCAAGATCTAAAGGAACCCCCACGCCCAAGGCTAAAGTCCAGGAAACCGTTCTGGATACGCGTCTCCGCTCTAGCAGCCGAAAATAAAGACACCGCCACTCGGTGGTCTGAATCGTGGGCGGCTATGGACGTGGCAAACAAAAACATCATTCACGATCCGACCGCGGAAGTACCGGGATTATCTCTTCTACGACGACTATGGACCACATTGAACCGCGCCCGAGCTCAACACGGCAGACGCGCGTACACATTCCATAAATGGAAGATCAAAGAATCGCCCAACTGTGGAGAGACTGTGGAGAGAAGTCCAAACCATCACGCACATCACCGATGAATGCTCCATCCATGCACATCCTGGCGGTATCGCTGAAATCCACACTGTGCGCAACCCCACATCATTGGACTCGATAAGGAACATTTGCATTCATTTATGACGATCATTAAGAAAAAATAAAAACTGTTGCTTTTCACAATGCCATACTGAAGAAGATCTGATAAAAGAAATGTGACATTGGGAAAATTGAGCAAGCCTGCTTAGGTCAAATCCCACAACATCGCCAAGTGACAGTATCAGAAGAGGACACGTGGATATGTCTCGCCCTTTTGTGGAAATCAAGATAATCTGCATGTCAGAATGTCTCCTGTCGTCAAAAGTAGAGAATTGTAGAAAAGGTTGCTATTCACGCACAAGCAACTCTTGTCATACCATCAGTAAGCATTTTCATTATCGTCGTTATGTATGTATGCATTTTGAACTTCTTTCACACCGTATGTAGCCAAGCATGCTTTTCGGAGGTGCAAATATCTTTAATAATTTAAATAGGTCTTGAATAAAAAGGAGGGTCGGGTGAAAGGGTGCCTCTGCCAATACTTCGGCCGTGAAGAAAAAAAGACGGAAGGAATCCAACACACCATGATGACTAAATAAGAATGAAGAAATGTGGAGTGGACACCTACGGGTTATCTGCCCATGAATCGTGGTGATGATGCCTTGCCGAGTAATACAATATCAAATCATTGTACTCTGAATTCAATTGGCCACCACTGTCTTGTATAGCCTTTAATGCTTTCAGAAGAAAATGTATGAGATACATGAATGTGAAGGCCATTTCTATCCAATTTCCTCAAAAATGACATGGATGGATGTCATTAGGGCTTCATATATATGCATTTGCATGAATGACCATTAATGGATTGTGTCTATTTATAAATTGGGTACTTTGGAGATATGGCAGAAAGGCATTTTACATGTTTCAAACCTGTCCCGTACATATGTACATGAGAAATAGGTCAACACTAACAGCAATTATTTTATTGTTTCCCTTCTACGTGACTTTACTGAAAGAACCAAGAATAGCAATTCACCAATTAAATGAGTAGTGGAGATTGTAAATGGATCAAATTAACCACCAAGGCATATGCTAATTTAGCTCTTTATCCATATCCTAATAACCATATTGTGCAGCAGCAATTTGGCCTAGATTGTCTCTATGTCTAGATTAGGTTACTTATTCCTGTTAAGCATTTGTAAAGGAACAATCTTGTCATTTTGGTGGAACAATGGGTGGTTCCTCCAAAGCTATGGGCTCGCAACAGCATGCAACATCTTCCCTTACCAAACATCAAGGGATCCTGAATTAATCCACAGAACATTATCCAGGGAGGCAGGGTCGATACTGGAGACAGCCAATGAACCATGACCTCACTAAGACAAAACAATATTAAGCAATTGGGCTAAAAGCAGGATGCGCCCTTTTGTACACATGCAGCCCTTTTGGGGCATTATGTGACCATATTTTACCACCTGGTCAGTGCTGCACAGCTCTGTGCTGACAACGCAGCATCGCAGAAGCCTACAGCACCTGCTACAATGCAAGTTGGTTGCCCATCCAAGCACTGTCCAGGCTCAACCCTGCCAACCCTTCTAAGATCTGATGATTTTGGTCACAGGCATTTGGCTGTCGCGGTACGGACCCCTTCACGAGCTCACGATCAGAGTTGGCAGGCGCCAGCTGGCGTCAGCGCTCCACACAGACACTCGGGTGCGAAGCGCACGGCGCCACTCACTGCACGGCCTCGAGCAGCTTGTACGGGTCGACGGGTGGCGGGTACACCACCTCGTCGATGCTTCGGCGGTTGCAGTTGGCGTAGGCCGTGCTCGTGTGCAGGAACACCTCTAGGTGCTGCATGCGCTCAGCCAGTGCCAGCAGCTGCTGCGTTGCGACGACGTTCAGCTGCAGGGCGTGCCTGCCACATGGCGCACACACACACACACACACGCGTGCGAAACGTGAACTCGGCGTGCGTTGACATGTCTGGCTGGTCCTTGAGTCTGTCCGAGGACTCCAACTGACAATGCAGCACCATCTGTGGAGAGAGATACAATTATTAAAATATATTTTTATGTTTTCAGTTTAATGATTGATTTGAAAGGGAAACACTTCCATATATCTGTGGAAAACCAGATCGGAATGAAAGTGAAGAACATTAAAGTACCAGGGTGGACACCAAGAGGCAGGCCTACAAAGAGAAGGTTCCAAGTGGTGAACCCGGATATGAAAGACTGGAATAGATATTCATATTCTTGGTTCTTTCGGTAAAGTCACGCAGAAGGGAAACAATAAAATAAAAATATAAAACAATACAATTATCACGACGTTTCGACTGCAACACAAGCAATCTTCATCAGGTGTGAAAACAACAGCAAGAAAATTTGAAAAAAGTGGTGTTTTTTATCGTTAGCACCACAGAGAGCGATTTGGCAGTTATTCAGATGGACGAGTCCATCTATGTTCGGAAAAGAGGAGGGGGGAGACGAAAATAATGGATGCGGTCTGAAAGCGTGAACAATCAATTAAGACCCGAAATGGTTTATCAAATCCTTCCAATGATTGCCAAGCCAGAATCCATCTTCTCGATTGAAATTGTCTCTGTGTTTGTATATGTGGATAGCCTCATGAACGAATCTCTCATGGTAGCCAGATGGCTTGCAAAGAACCTCTGTCTTGGAAAAGTCAATGTCATGTGAGCCTACTGAATTATAACAGTGATCTGCCACGGCCGAGAGGTGTTCGTCCTATCGTGTTTTAGGTCTGCTTTGTGTTCACGGATGCGGTCCGAGACATGTCGTTTGGTTTCTCCAATGTAACTACTACCACAGAGGCAACTTAGTTTGTAGAAGCCAGGGTACTGTATGTCCGGAATCACATCTTTTACAGATGGAACCAGATCACGGATTTTATGTAATGTGTTGAATCGGACCTGGATCTTGTGTTTATTCAAGATTTTGGAGATATTTTTCGTGATCCCCGCAATGTAGGGTAAAGTGATGGTTTTGAAAGGCTCCTCAAGAGGGTCCTTCTTCTTGGAGTGATAGCCTTGCAGATTGTGAATTCGGAGTAACCATTATACCTTAAGAGCTTGGTGTACGTGCTTGAGTTCACTGGCTATGTGTTCCTGGTCGGATATGCATTGGGCTCTATGGTGCTGGGTCTTGATGAGGGAATTCTTCTGGGATGGATGATGGTGGGAATCCGGTTTCAGGTAAGCATCCGTATGGGTAGCTTTCCTGTAGACAGAGTGGCTCATTGAACCATCAGGTCTCTTTTTTATTAGGTCATCCAAAAAAGGTTGCTTGCCATCTTTTTCGACTTCCATGGTAAATCTGATGGCTGGGTGTATGGAATTGATGTGGTCGAGGAATTGGTCTAGAGCAGGCCGGCCATGTGGCCAGATGACAAAAGTGTCATCCACGTACCTCTTCCATAAGGTTGGGCGCAGAGTGGCAGTCTGGATGGCATCAGTCTCAAATTTCTCCATGAAAATGTTGGCTACAACTGGAGATAGGGGGGAGCCCATTGGGGTGCCCTCAGTTTGTTTGTAGAAAGTTCCATTCCAAGTGAAGTATGTATTGGTTAAGCAGTGTCTCACCAGGGGGGGTACCTTTCACTGGAAAAAACACCTCTGCGGTACAAAATTCTATTCACCTGGTATTGACAATCACGGGTATTTCCCTGTCCCCAGACGGCCTACTTGTCGGTTTTGATGTAGTTTCCTTATTCACCAAAGTTCCTGATAATGACACCATCACAATCATTGAAGACTTGGTTCATCAAGGACTAAACACTGAGGTACCCCCCCCTGGTGAGACACTGCTTAACCAATACATCACTTGGAATGGAACTTTCTACAAACAAATGAGGGCACCCCAATGGGCTTCAGGTTAATGAAGCATGGTTATCGTTGAGTGGCTAATGTGTAGTTTGAGTTGTGGTTGCTAGGTAGCGGATTGATACAGTGAGGGAAAAAAGTATTTGATCCCCTGCTGATTTTGTACGTTTACTCACTGACAAAGAAATGATCAGTCTATAATTTTAATGGTAGGTTTATTTGAATAGTGAGAGACAGAATAACAACAAAAAAATCCTGAAAAACGCATGTCAAAAATGTTATAAATTAATTTGCATTTTAAGGAGGGAAATAAGTATTTGACCCCTCTCCAAAACATGACTTAGTACTTGGTGGCAAAACCCTTGTTGGCAATCACAGAGGTCAGACGTTTCTTGTAGTTGGCCACCAGGTTTGCACACATCTCAGCAGGGATTTTGTCCCACTCCTCTTTGCAGATCTTCTCCAAGTCATTAAGGTTTCGAGACTGACGTTTGGCAACTTGAACCTTCAGCTCCCTCCACAGATTTTCTATGGGATTAAGGTCTGGAGACTGGCTAAGCCACTCCAGGACCTTAATGTGCTTCTTCTTGAGCCACTCCTTTGTTGCCTTGGCCGTGTGTTTTGGGCCATTGTCATGCTGTAATACCCATCCACGACCCATTTTCAATGCCCTGGCTGAGGGAAGGAGGTTCTCACCCAAGATTTGACGGTACATGGCCCCGTCCATCGTCCTTTTGATGCGGTGACGTTGTCCTGTCCCCTTAGCAGAAAAACACCCCCAAAGCATGTTTCCACCTCCATGTTTGACGGTGGGGATGGTGTTCTTGGGGTCATAGGCAGCATTCCTCCTCCTCCAAACACGGCGAGTTGAGTTGATGCCAAAGAGCTCCATTTTGGTATCATCTGACCACAACACTTTCACCCAGTTGTCCTCTGAATCATTCAGATGTTCATTGGCAAACTTCAGACGGGCATGTATATGTGCTTTCTTGAGCAGGGGGACCTTGCGGGCGCTGCAGGATTTCAGTCCTTCACGGCGTAGTGTGTTACCAATTGTTTTCTTGGTGACTATGGTCCCAGCTGCCTTGAGATCATTGACAAGATCCTCCCGTGTAGTTCTGGGCTGATTCCTCACCGTTCTCACGATCATTGCAACTCCACGAGGTGAGATCTTGCATGGAGCCCCAGGCCGAGGGAGATTGACAGTTATTTTGTGTTTCTTCCATTTGCGAATAATCGCACCAACTGTTGTCACCTTCTCACCAAGCTGCTTGGCAATGGTCTTGTAGCCCATTCCAGCCTTGTGTATGTCTACAATCTTGTCCCTGACATCCTTGGAGAGCTCTTTGGTCTTGGCCATGGTGGAGTTTGGAATCTGATTGATTGATTGCTTCTGTAGACAGGTGTCTTTTATACAGGTAACAAGCTGAGATTAGGAGCACTACCTTTAAGAGTGTGCTCCTAATCTCAGCTCGTTACCTGTATAAAAGACACCTGGGATCCAGAAATCTTTCTGATTGAGAGGGGGTCAAATACTTATTTCCCTCATTAAAATGCAAATCAATTTATAACATTTTTGACATGCATTTTTCTGGATTTTTGTTGTTATTCTGTCTCTCACTGTTAAAATAAACCTACCATTAAAATTAGACTGATAATTTCGTTGTCAGTGGGCAAACGTACAAAATCAGCAGGGGATCAAATACTTTTTTCCCCTCACTGTAGTTGTAAGTGCAGGTGTGTGTTTCCCCCCCACCCCAAAATGCATGCAATGTTCTTACAAGGATGCAGTGAGCTATAAAAAAAATTCCATAGATTACTTATGAAATAAAATATTACTGTGCATTGGAATAAAAGACCAAAACTGGCTTTATTTGACAGAGCAGCGACCGCCTTCATCGCCTCCCTCTCTCTGTCGCTTGCTTGGTCGCTCCCCTTCTTTTTAATTAAATCCGCCATCCGAGGCATTTGCTACATTATGGGCACATCACAAATGTACGTAGTCGTCGTGTTTGTCGTCTGGCTATTTGTTTGAACCGTGCCCGAAAATCCGACCCACTGTGTGCAAAGATTTTACATTGAAATAAATATCAGAGCACAATAGGTGCATTCATGAAAAATGCAATAATCTAGGCTTCTCAGGATTGTGTAACACAACTGTCCACTTTAATTCAGATTTTGGGAACAAGGATTACACGCAGCAGGAAGTGAAGTGAATCAAGGTGTCAGTGCGCTGTTCCTAACGTGTTAAGCCTGAGCTGCTATCTCCTGGCAAAAAGGCTTTTCCAGCTAGGCACGCCAGAGATTTGTCTGGATATTCTGCAAACTCGTTTGCACGCACGGACGCTCGTGCTTAACCATGTTGCCCTGCAGTACGATGTTGTTATCACCCACATTACATTGGGTTCATACGAGTAGTGTTGTAATGTGTTTATTTGGCTCAAAACCCACTTCCTGCGACATAACTGTAACCTTTACCATGAGTCCATTGAAAAACTCCTGAATTACAGCTATATCTGAACACATTTCATAATCCACACTTCAATAATTCGGCAAGACAAAAAAAGACAGCTCAATAAATTGAACACATCCTTTGCACGTAAAAAAGGTTGCGAGTCCAGATAAAATTCCATGATCCCGAAAGCTGTAAATGGTTGTGCTGTTCAGCTAAGGACAAATGGTGGCATTTCAATATCTGGCAACTTCGGATTATTTGTAAGCCAAAATTAAATGAAAACTGATAAATAAAAGATTGACTGTATGGCAACCTCTGTTCCTGTCCAGAGTGTTCAAGGTTCGCGATTACGGTGCGTGCGCCCAGTCTTGACGGAGGATTACCCTCCCCACCCTGGCTATTTATTTCGGTGGACCTCTCATTAACTGCAGGTGAGCAAAGGTTAAACACAGCAAAGCAAGTTCACACAATACTTGTCCCCTAAGCCTACCAAAGACAGCGGATTACAGCTCAGCTGGCAGATGCTGCCTTGGATAACAATCCACACTGGAACCAAGGCAAAAAACTGCACAGATAAAGTGAACACCACAATGTGGAAGCTTGAATTCTAAAAACACTAGGAATTTAGTTTTTAAGTTAATTATAAACGTCACACAATATGTTGTAAGCAGGCAAGTTAATTGCATTATTAAACTGGCGAGTCACACAAACTGCAGCTCCTAATTGTTCACATGTCACACCAATTATTATGCTGAGGCTTACACCAGATGCACTGTATGTTCTTGGTCAATCTCCACAGCATAATTTTGTAGTGATAGGCATATACTTTAAATTCCTCAAAGTTTAAATTAAAACTAAATGAATATCCATGTAAAAAGAAAGTTGTTGAAATTTGGAAAATATTTAAAGCTCTGCCTGTGTAGAGTTTATATAGCAAGGGCAATTTGTAAAACGGGTTAAGCCTTCACACCTCTGATGGAACACAGTTGGCTTCGTATGGTGCAAAAAAAGTTTAACAAACATTTTTCTGCTCTTTCATTACTTTTGGGGCAACAAGGTAAAAAGTTATCACGTTGATGGCAATCATTTGAATGCTGAAAATGAACATCTGTAAAGCGGTTACAGGCAGTCCCTGGGTTACGGAAGGGTTAGGTTCCTGAGAACGATCCATAACCCAAATTTTCCGCATGTCAGAAACTGAACAATTTTCCCCCAAAATCAAAGATAAAATCCCAAAGTCGGAAATAGTTGCGCTTCCCCTACCGTTTTCTCTCAGTGCTGTAGCGCACTGTTGTCCATCTTCTATCGTTACCTGTATCATATCGCTGTACATAACGCTCTGCACTTCCTACGATTCTTTCATTTAATCATAGAATATCTACCCTAACACTACCCATAAATAAACTAATGGAACATACACTGTATCCAATTGTTTATGAATGCCACGAAACAATTTAATATTAATTGATAAGAGAAAGCAGTCACTTCTGAAAGTAAATTTACTGTGCATTAGGCTCGGCCTAGACTTCTCTAATCGCTGTTGGCTGAGACCATGAGCAATCAAAGTGTAACGGTGTTAAATAAAGTACATACAGTAATAACTCCTAAAAAACAATTGCAGAAAACTAGCAATAGAAACATGGGGAAAAAAGGTTATAAGCATAAAAAAAACAATTACATAATGCTACAAAAGGAAAATAATTACGTAACGCTACCAAAAAATACTATTCGCCTTAATCCTAGTGTAGCTCGGGCTTGGTGAAGGCGGCGTTTTGGTGGAGCGAGGTGTAAGGCGGTCAGCCACCTTATGCCTCGTGGTATTCATCCACAACCTGACGGTGCTGCACTGTTTTAGCTTACACAACTAATGCAAACATTTCTGCATATAGATTTTTTTTTTACACGATTTATGGGAGCATTTCCGTAAAGTCAAATTCCGTAACTCAGGTCTTCCGCAATCCGGGTACCGACTTAATTTATTTAAAACAATAATTGTTCATATGCTTTGGAAAAGCAGTTCAGTGTCACAATTCATTAAAATGTGTTTATATCATCATTTCTTGCACAAAATACAGAGAGTGCTTCACTTTTACACCTTACTATTATTGCAAAAGCAAAATACTGCCATAGGGCAGTTTCATTTTGAGCTTTAAATTGGTACTGAATAATGAAATACACATGGGACGTCCGCCAATCCGCAGGGGTTATACTGTAATTACCCCAAATTGATTCAGCTCAAATTCCTACATTTGGCTAGGGCAACCATACAAGACACCTGGCAGCAGTGCCTCCCCCCCTCCCCCGATAAAGAATGAGAAAGATTGCAAAACAAAGCTGAACATTAATAGCAAATGTGAGCATTTGCCAGCACACAAAACGTTCCCGTATACAATCGGGAGCAATTAGAGTTACGCCACATAAACCTATTCCAAGAAAAATGAGTCAACTATGAACAGACTGCCAGGAGGCCACATGACCACTTCGTTTTTACAAATCTTTCCATCACAAAGTCTACAAGTGTAGGGGAATTCACATGGGGTCACCAACCTCGTACCAATTAATGCACCCAGCTGCTGACTGTTAAAATGTCAAATGAGTGTTAACACTGCACTTTCACCTAATCAATTCTTTATGCTCTTATTAACAGAATAAGTCGTACGTGTAAATTGTCTGCCAAAGTCACTGCTAATAAAACAGACCCAACCACTCAAAATGGCAGGAATGCAGTTCAAAACATGTTCCATCCCAAGGTGCAATATAAATTAGACAGTGCTCAGAATGATAAATTCGTTCCAATGCAAAGAACAACACCACATCATCAGGGAGTGATGTGGAGATGGTCTAGTACAGTACCAGCAAGGCAGACAGCACGAGTGGGGAAACGATGCAAGGAAGAAGAATGCAGAGCTTTGCCACACGCATACCTGGTCTTTTTCTAAGCGTACCCTCAGTCTGTTGCTGTAACGATGGGGGTTTGCATGCATCACGAAACAGGCATCACGTGTTACACGCGTGCGCACCGAGCTGTACTCTTACTTGAGAGGCTCGTTGAAGCGGATGGTGGCAGCGCAGTGGAAGATGACGTTGATGGTGGCAACGAGGTGGTCCTCATCTGCAGTTGAGATTCCCAGCTTGGGCTGCGTCAGTTCGCTGTCCACCGGGATGATCTTAGCCTCGAATTCAGGCTGCTCCTGCCGCAGGCGGTCGAAGAGCTGCAAGGAGACAAGCGGCGGTGGATACGGGCAAGCGGTCAGGAAGTCGTGGCTCTCGAGGACGCCGGGGGACAATTGTATGCCAGATTCGCAGACAAATTCCAGGTCTTAAAGTTGGCCACAATTGAATCAAATATACACACATAAAATGTGCATTGCATAAAGTGATTTCCTGTGCAAATGACCACTGAAGCAATGCTCATCCTATTAACGCCCGCAAGACAGTGGTGGAAATTCCATGTTTCTATGACGGGACAGAGTCACTCCTTATGAAAGGGGTACTATAATTGTATCGACCCCAGAGGGTCAATGGGCCGAGTCAACACCCAACCAGGATTTGAACACGTGACCTTCCGTGAGCCACTTGCTCTGCAGCTGAGCCACCTGGCAGGATTACGTGGGGGTAGTGGCAACGACCGCGCGATTAGAACGTACAGTATTAATGGATGGGCTCCCACTCGAGGCTGTAGGAAAATAAAATACATTTAGTTTCTTGAACGGCACTTCACAAGGTTTGTAAACCATTGTCATGCAGTTAAGATTAGGAGAGGGTTATTTTTTAAAGCATGGATGCCAAAGGCAATATTTACCAAAACAAATTTCACGGCAGAAAAGCCTTTCCTATAGCATCAAGGGACGATTGTTTCTAAGGTGGCAAATGAAAAATATGGTTAAGTTCTCTTATGAAGACACTGCACTTGTTTGACAGTTATATCCTTGCAGAATGTTAATAAGACACGCTGGTAATGTGGATCTAATGAGCAACAAATTCGACGATTTGAACATTATTGCCTTCCAGTTTCGACATCAACGCTTGTGAATATCACAGGCCTATCCACCAGTCTCCTTAGTGCAAGCTCTATTCGTGGGGACAATACCGACCAAATTATGAGAGAACAACCACACGCTGCTTCCAATTACCAAAGGCTCACCTGCATGGGTCAGATAAGGCCAATAACCACAATTTCCACTGTTGTGCTTTTAATGCTTTGGCCGTAACCAAGAAGCATTGTGTGTCAATGATAACAAATCCTCCAGGAGTAGCCCGTTTCATAAACATTCGAGTGACATTTGTCAGAATAAAATGTAAATGTCATAGATGCTGCTAAACTTAGCGGCGATAGGCTTTTTTCACATTAACGGCAATACATCAGAGAAATATGCATGAATCCAGAACAATGCTTCAGCAAGATATTTGAATTCCTATCTACGGAAACTAGTTCACCATGTGTGTGTCCTCCAGTGCTCCAGATGGTGCATATAACACCATACTGAAGGTGTATTCAATCATAAATTGTCAACTCGCAACCACCCAAGCCAACAGCCATGGCACCGCCATGCTTGCCAGGAAATGTGCGAATCCCACTCAGGGCCTGGGCGCCACGGTGGCGAGATGTTAACTATCTCTCCTGGTATGCAGGAGGATGTGCGTTCGATCCTGACACTGACGCCTGTATATTTGGAGTTTGCATCTTCTCCTAGTGGTCAAGTGGATTTTTCTCCAGGTTCTCCGGTTTTTCCCTCCACATAAATAAACGTGCGTTTCAAATATTTGGCTGCTATACATTTCCACATGGTAAGCCACTTTGTTGAGCTATCATTCGTGGCCAGGTTAGCTTATGAAAAATAGTTATATAGCTCAGTGGGCCTTCTCTGGTAAAATGCAAACAGTAAAAAGTTTAAAACAAAGAAAAAATCTCCCCAAATGAAACTAATCATGGATGTAAGTGTTATTATACATCATGTACAATGATGTATAATGATTTCTGAAATATAATATTCTTTTCAGGCCCATTTGAAAATTAAAGCGCCACAATGGAGCTCAAACATGCTGATTCGCTCCCAACTGTTTATAAAAACATGTTTTTAATAAGTTTAATAATAAAGCAGCAAATCAAGATGTAAATTGGTGCCATGCCCACAAGGGCCCATTTATAGCCTTGTCCACTCACTGTGAAGCCGCTTCGTGTCACGGGACCAAAGCACCCACCACCACCCTGGGTTTCGTTTTCAAAAATTGTTGCCGAATTGGCCCGAATTGTAGCGGCGAGCTGCTAATAGCCTGGGGGCTGAGCGTGCCCACTGCAGAGAAGAACTCGTGACGTTGGGACAGACAAAAACGGGTGCTCCCAGCCCCGACATAGCTGGAGACTGAAGTGAGCAATTGTGCACCAAGTTTCACTATATGGATGTTGTGCTACTCATGTGCTGCCCACGGCGAAAAAATATAAATGTGAAGAACGCGTTCACGGTAAAACGGCCTGCGTTGCCACTGACAACTTGATCTGCTCTCCCTTACATCAAAGCTTTGTTATCTCAATGGGCCCTCATCTGCTAAAATAAAGACCTCCAAACGGAGCTGTTGCTTGGTGTCACACCACAGATGTGTAAAGACAACACCAGATAAGCTCTTGATAAAACACATTTTGGATGAATCGGTGTATCTAGCATCTGGGTAGTTTCTTTCAAAGAGCCGTTTAAAGCCAACATTCACTCCCTTGGCAATCACGAACACAGCAGATTTCATGTTAATTAAATTATGAATGACCTTTTTTCTCACACTGCGCTCTGAGGCTGTGAGTATAAAGTAGTGCTTTAGAGCTTTTAATAATTGTGCCCTAGGCGGCAAAACACTTCCGAATATAAATGTTCCCGGCCAAAATTCGTGGCATTTTGTATGCGTTTAGCGTGCATTGGAGGCCACTAATGAGTCTACAAATTTACACCCACGGGTGTACAGAATAATAAATTGAGAAAGAACATCCAAATGATCAAATGCAGCACTTCATCACGAAAATGAATGCAGTGCCGCAGGGTACCGAGTTTAATAAATGGCATTTTATACCGTTCAGTGGGATAAAACTAACCGTGTGGCTCCTCTGTCTCTGGTGGTAGTGGCACTCCCACAAAATACTCGGCATTCCACATGCCCCGATACTGTACAGTAACGTATGCTGGCGTGACTTCTTTCCTCGGGCACGTTGTAAAAGTCTTTGGCAACGACCCCAATTCACGGAGGTGCTCCCCCAAATGGCGCCACAAAAGCTCTTGGTCGATGCATGTGAATGCTCCCACGTGCACAGGTCGTGAAAAGCGGGCTCCACATCGTTCCCTGTGGATTTCGTTTCGGCTCATACCATCAGCGCAGCACTAACAGAAGAAGCTGTGAATGTTCATCATGAGTGGTTTATAATAATGTCTCGTCATTCATCCAGTAAAGCTCAGAATATCAAAGCTCTTCAAATGATTCTGCTTTGGGATATTTGGCAAGTTCCTTTTGAAGGAGTGCTTTGCATGTGGGGGAAAAAAAAAACTTAATATCCATAAACAAGCCCATGCTTATGATGGTTTAACATTCGAAGGTTCCCAGAGGCAAGTTCAAAAACGCACTTGTTGCACGACCATATCCTGGGCACCTTGGAGCCACGAGGAGTTTTGAAGTCTCATAAATATACAGCGCATGATCCACCAACCCTTGGCACCTCAGCGCTTGATTACCAGGCATGTGCGCCACCCACGCCTGGAATGCGGAAAATCGGTTGCAAAATCTGGCCCTGGGTGAGTAAGCCTCATGCAGCCAACTGCAAAACACTTCTCAAAAAAAGGCCGGCCGACTGACCCCTCACCTTGCAGCAGGTCATGAGCTTGATGCGCTCCTCGGGGCTCTGCCCTTCCTTCGGCCTCACCAGCACGTACAGCGACCCCAGCATGGGGCACGAGCGCAGGATCTTCTCCACCAGCACCTTGCCCAGAAACCCCGTGGCGCCCGTCACCATCACGTTCTTGCCGGCGTAGAAGTCGACCACGGATGGGACGGGGGCCCCGAGGCGAGCGCCAGATGTTGTTGACGCCGTGTTCTGCTGGCCCAGCATCGAGCCGTACACCAGGCCCCCGACACCACCCTTGGGCGCTGCAGGGAGGGCGGTCTGCGTGTCGTTGCCAAAGCCCGGCGACGAGAGATGCGCTGGCCCCGACGTGCCAAGCATGGCTGGGACTTTGAGGAGTGGGGCCTGTTCCATGCAGACAGATGAGCTCATGCCGTGCTCTGCTTAACTTGCTTGTCTTTTTGGTCCACTGTTCTTGCAGGATATGGGAAAGTCACGCTGTCAAGACAGTAAATACACAGAGGGTTTAAATTTTTTACAAATGGCAAGCCAAAGGTAGCACAAAAACAACATCAAGTGAACTAAGAGCCACCTAAAAAGCCTTCGTAAATCAACTTCACACAGTCAATATGTTGCACGAGACAGTGCCTTTCGAGACTTTGGTAGCACTCTGTTCAAGGCAGAGCAAAGCATCAATAATTCATACTGAGGTGCTCGTGCAAGCGCCAGCCACAAAGGCGGAACATTATTCCACCAATTACTGGATACCTTCAGGAAGAGCCATTGATGACAAATGCCTCAGCCTCGGAAGAGCAAACGTCTATCATGGAGTCAAGTTCATATGGGGAAAATATAAACTCAAATTGTGTGCACAGCTGCTATAAATTGGCATTAAAAGTTCTCTCTCATTTTCACTCATTGTTTTTGCAAACAATGAGTGAAAATATGGGAAGTGGTTCCCTTTTTTTGAGGGATTACCAATTTATGAAATGTGCATTTATATCATTATCCCTTTAAAACGCAGGCAAATCAAATGACCAAAATCCTCCTACACACATTAATATTGTGCACTGAAACGCTCCACAAATAGGAAGGGGTGTCATGTTATCCTTATTTGTTTTAAAATATAAAGTCACACTATTTCGAGCACAAGCAGATACGCTGGGCTTTCAGGCTGGGTTTCTGCCCTGTTCACAGTATTTGCAGGATGGTTGCTTTAATCTGTGTGCTCCAGAGTCAGTGGCAGGTGGTCTCGCGGCAATAGCCAATAGATCCAGTTATAGCACAACTAGGAGTGATCATCTTGAAAGTATGGTATCGCATGTTGGGGTGTTGTGGTCAGAATGTACAAATGAAACGTGCATTGCAGTGCCCACAATCGCTACCTTAAGAGCCAGGCGTCCCTGCTATCAAACAACCTAAACAGCTTAATTGTTGTTAATGCTTGTCCATATAATGAAGTAAACCGCAGGGATGTAAAAATTATTAACTAAATTTAAAAATATTACCGGAAATTAAAATGTTCAGATGATGCCGTGGCCTGACATACCATTTCTAAAGTCAAGCCAACCACCGCTCTACCCATACCCGTGCCCTAACCATGACTGTAAATGTCAGCCCTCCAGCGATTCTGAATTTTGGCTCTCGGAATAACTCAAGCTTTTTGCAGACTGCCAACAAGGAGGGCTGAACAGCCTGCAATTATCAGCATTGATTTGGCATCTCCCTGCTGAACACAGGTGCAACACTTTTCATTTTCAGCCATCTGGAATTATTTGCACATCAGGGGATGCATTGAAAAAAAAATCACAGTTGCGATGCACCCACTCATGGCAATTCTTTAATGTGGTGCGAGAAATAAAAACCTCGTCCAAACATGGCATTCCTGGCAAATATTAATAAAGACCATAAGCGTTCAACAGCGATACCTTTTTTTTACCATGTACAGGTCTTTTGCCAAACCACTGCTGCAAAAGGGCCTCCCTACAGTCGTGCAGGCCATGTTACCCAGACTTCACCATGCTAGTCAGTACGGGTCTATGAAATCAGAGCATAGACGTGGGAGCATCGAAATCCAGTAGAACAAAGGAGTTTGATGCATGGACTACCCTTTGTTGACGACCATGGCACAGAGCCCATGACAACCTGGCATGCATTGTAACTCATACTTTTCATATTTAATTAAGTAATGATCTTAGGTTGACTATTTTTATAACCAAAGATTGTAAAATATATATTAATTTATTATTTCTGCAGTGCTTTGAGGATATTTTATTGCTTCAGGTGCGATAGAAAATAAACATCGACCGATTGAGACTTATCTCTGCATAGTTTCCGAGATCTGACAAGATTGGGCACATTGATGGTGATTTTATCTATAACGACACTTCTTTACAGTAAAAAGCTTAAACCATATTCACTGAAATTTTATTATTTTCAGCGTCTTACATTTTCACATGCCCTTTATTTAGTTGCTGGTAACCCTTTTCCCAAATATCCTATAATTTTAACTGTATGACTAGTAGCTGGTCTGTGCGTGTGGTGTATCAGACTCCATAATGATTGAGGTAAGAAAATACATTTAAATGCAATCAGTGTAAAAACCAGCCAGGCCAGTACACACACCACCTCACCCAGGCAACAAGAAAATATTCCTCTAGTGTGACAACAACTTTCCATTCTCGGTTGCAGACGAGTTGGACCATCTAAAGGACAGCCATCTCTGTTGGAGAAATATAAACTCGCGTGCTCTGGGTGTTAAGACGTCAATGGTGCGACCATACTGATATGTCGGCTCTAACGGTTGTGCTGTGAAGCTGTGATGCTTTAGGGTTGCACCGCAAATATCCGGAATGATTTCCGAGTTTTCACTGCACACGCTGGGGGAGCTTCCAGCATGTGGAGCGACATGTCGGATATCGTGAGACAAACACACGGTGCAACGAAAACAAAATCGGAGCTACAATTTTGCCACCAATTTAGAATGAGTCATTGAAAAATGCAACCTAGGCAGCCTTAAATGTTAATATTAACTATCCAAATAGCCTGTTCGATTCATTCTAGCTACCTGGACCCAAGTTGATAGTATTTGCCAAAGAATCTAATTCACAATTTCTAAGAAACAGTTGAAGAAAGCACAAGGGGTTTTACAATCCCACAAACACACACAGGACTCTGCATATACTTAACTAGCTTAACTACCCGGCTTCGCCCGGGACTTGGATTCACCACGCCCGGCCGCCTTTGTCTCCCCAATGGCGATGTTCACACACCACACCAGTTACGAGGCTGAGGCTGAGTCGACCTAGGGGAGGCCCAGGACCAGTTCAAATAATCGTCACCGGTGGTGGCCGTGAGCGGGAATCGAACTCGGGTCGCCGGGTTCGTAGCGCAACGCGCGAATTGTTACACAGTCGCTGCCCTCCCCCCCACACACACAGGCTAAAGACAAAGATCCCCCGTGTAGCCTGTGAGACTGTAGGGGGCAAGTGCTGTAAGCGAGCACCTATGAAGGCCGGCACGGCACACCAGGGGGTGGGTGGCCAGTGCCACGCCCGGCCGCCTTTGTCCCCCCAGTGGCGATGTTCACACAGCAGAGCAGTTACTCGTTTGATGCCGAGTCGACCTACAGGAGGCCCAGGACCAGTTAAAATCATCGTCACCGGTGGTTGCCGTGAGCGGGAATCGAACTCGGATCGCCGGGTTCGTAGCGCGGCGCGCTCACCACTACACTACAATGCGTTACGCTTCCACATGTGTGGGTCACATGACATATTTGACGTCACAGCTCACTTGCCGTGCAAAAAAACTATGCATAATTGAGCTCCCCCCCCCGCCCCAAAAAATACAAAAGTCTATTTTTATCATTTTTGCATGGTGTACAGTCTGGAAAGTACCCACATGGCAAATTTCAAGTTTGTTGCATGTCAGGAAGTACACTAAACATTTTGAACAGACACACATTCACAACTTTGCCTTTTATATATATGGAGATAAAGCAGCAAAAAATGTGTGTGTAGTTAGAATATACACCTACACTTAAAGGCTACGATTAATGGATAGCTACATTTATACTCACACCTGATCAAAGTTTGCGTTAAAATGCTCGAAGCATAAATGCCGGTGCAGGCTGAGTGTCGGGGGGGGAAAGACTCCCTTGCGCATATCACCAACAAGCCCTAGCACGAAATTAATGACTAATTGAAGCCGTGAGCAAGGGAATAACGAGCGTTATCGCACCCAAGGTTTGGGAGGGACACCACCTCTCTCCCCTGATCACCATTCCCATTGTGACCTGGGGCTTTGCACAAGGTTCCAATGCCCGATGAGCACACTCCAATCACTTGGCCTTGAGGTCCACTTTGTTTGACTTTCCTTTGAACGGAAAGCCACTTTTCAAATACCTGGGGCAGCATGGTCAAACTTATACAGAGGCTTGCCCACCGCAATCCAGTGTGGCACATTTTTGTGCATTAAGTCTTAACAGTGATTCTCCAAAGGGAAAACTGAAAACAGAACTCCACGATGCCATGGAACTATGTATTCATCTTACCCCAGTTGGCAATTAAATAATTCCGCTTATTGGAATCAAAATATAACTTTAAAAAGTCGAGTGACTTATTATTGTTCCTCTTTAACAGCCACGACTGGTGGTATGAACTTTGATTTTTATTTGTTCCACAGATTTTTCAAAACATTTTTTGTAAATGAAATAAAATGCACTTATTTCAACAATTAAAGTAAATTGGAAACCTAGTCACAGATGCAGCTTATCCTCCAAGAGCTAGAATTAACAAATGGAAGTGTGGAAACACTCTAAGAGACACTGATCAATGTTTAAAGACGAACTTAAGAAAACCCTCAAAACAGATGTGGCGTTGTAAACTATTCCAATGATGTACATCCTACGCAATTGGCCGATCGATTGTAAATTAAGGGTTGTTCCAGTAAACCAGATGCAGTGGTCAGCAATAAATGCCGGATGAGGCTTTTCACATGCACTCAGTGTCACCTTAGCTCACGTTTCCTGTGCCAAGTGGAAACAAAAAGCAACTGATGCTTTTAACAAGCAGGCAACTGTTCCAAGTTCAAATTTATTTTGTTTACACAGGTGAGAAACGCAAGAGGCCAGAGGTAGTCTTATTTGCAAGAGCGACTTTGGGTACCCAAAATGAAGAGAGGCTCCGGCCCACCTCGCTTTCCCATCGGCTCCTGCCCCTCCACTGGCCAGGGCCATCCGCATCAACATTCAAGTGATCATTATGGCAACATAACACCCCAACAGCACATGGGCGGCTATGGCTGGAACATCTTGTGTCGACGTCAGAGCAACGTTCCCATGGGTACACAGCTGACAGGCTCGCACAAGTCTCACACGCAGCGCACACACACACACAGCAGACATACATTAATATTAATACTATAACCACACCTTTTGTTTACATGTCAGTGTACAGTATCGTCTTATATGTGCACAGCACATGTATAATACACACTGT